CTTTACCTCAGGAATGTGAAGAAAGCAACAGTGGATTGGCGCTCTGACAAGTGCCCGGAACTACGATGCAAGGCAGCCGATTGTGGCACAATCCTCAAGTTTCTTGCATGGAAAACACAGCTGGAAGAGCCCCCTGCCTACAAAGGTATGGTGGCATGTATTTGGGCTGCCGACAGGTTTGTACGCATACTTTTTTCGGCTGGCATGTACCTGACTCCGGCTGAACGAGAATCGGCGTATGCGTGTGGTGACTTGTACTTGCATCTCTACATGTCCCTTGCGTGTGAAGCCGTGGACGCAGGCACTCTTCTTTGGAAAGTTCGACCCAAATATCATTATTGTTGGCATGTGGTCAATGACCTTCTATCGAAAGGTCGCAATCCATCCAAGGATGGGACATGGATGGATGAAGATGTTATGCGCCATACCTTCCACATGCGTCGTAAGATGTGTGCCAGAACATCCACTCTCAACGTGCTGAAACGCTTCCTGGTTGTTGCCAAGACGGCAATGGACAAGCACTTGGGATTAAGCCTGAAAAAGACCAAGTCTCGATGGGGTCCTCTGATGTCATCAGCGAGCCGCTGCTGCTGTCGATGCTTCTGATGCTGCTACTACTGCGATTGCTGCTGCTACCACTGCTGCTGTTCTTGGTACTGCTACTGCTACTCTTACTGCCGCCTCTACTGCTACATGCCAGTGCTACTGCCACTGCTACTGCTCCTGCAGTTTTTGCTAATGCTACTGCTAATGCTATTCTGACTGCTACTTCTATACTGCCACTCCTACTGCTGCTGCTGTGACAGCTGCTACTGCTGCCAGTCCTAGCAGTCTTCGTCTTACTATTATTACTACGACAACTACCACTACCACTATACCATTATGCCATTATACCACTGTACCATGATACCACTATACCACTACCACTAGCACCACCACCACCACCATCACCAAAACCAGCAGTGCAACACCACCACCACCACCACCACCTTTGCAACCGCCACTATGTCCTGCCACCACTACCACTATAATTGCATATGGGCTACCACCACGGAAACCACCACTTCTGGGCTCCTAGTGTTGCTAGGGCCACCGCTGCTACTCATGCTGCTACTTAAATCGAAAGCCCCAACACTTACCAGGCCTGTGTACCAGGAAAACCTCAGCACCACACGAAACACCTCATAGTTAAGCCCTAGGTCTCGGTATGCAACAAAGTCTAAACCAGACAAGCATTCAAGCAGCACCAACAGTGGTCGCATCAGGTGCAGTGGCATTAACAAAATCAACCATGCATTAACTGTGCGGCAGTAGCAGTGGCAATAGGAGGAAGTGATTCGTAGGAATAGGAGTAAGACTTGGAGTGGGAGTCGGAGTAGTTGCAAGGGTAGATGCAGCACTGAAGGGCAATTAGGACCTTAGGACTAGGAGGAGTCGAAGAGTTGTCGTCGTCGAAGTCGTCGTCCTCCTATTATTGAGAGCTGCAATGGTAGTTGCATGTGTGTGTGTGTGTTTGCGTGTACGTATGCGCGCTCTTGTTCCTAATGCGCGCGTGAGTGCGCATGAGCGCGCGCAGGCCACATATATGTGAGAAAAGCTCTAGCCTGTGCATGCTGAAATGAGCGCGCTCTGCTTCCGTGAGCGCGCGGCGAGCGCGCAACCATCAAACGACGCTGTATATCTGTACATATATGTGTATAATATATTAATATATATATATATATATATATATATATATATTTATTTATATTTATATTTATATTTATATTTATATATACATGCATGTGTGTGCTCGCTGGAACCGGCCCCTTTAACAATATACATTAATGTATATTATGTATACCATAGTCACGTTCGAACTTGCAGTCATACTGCAAAGCTTGTGTCGGGCCAAACCATCTTGGAGATTGAACCTAGGCCGGGGTAATAGGTAAATACTCTATGTGAGTTAAAGCAGCAGTATTCAGCAGTTTTTATCAGAAAACCCAATCCGGGCCTTCGGCTCTTAACCCTATCAACCCTAAAATTAGGAGACCCTATATCTCCTAAGCAATCAACACCGACACCAGCCCCCCAAAAATAAAAGCTCTTGAATTATGTTGCTGGGGTCGGATCGGTGCCTACTGCATGATTGATTGCAATTAAACGATCAAGCACCAATTGTAACAAGTCTCCAGACTTAAGCTGCTTCGTCATGCTATCGAACACAATAAACCCATCGAAATTGAAATGTTATGTTTGTGACCAATGCCTTGACACGAAAATCCTGAAGCCAACTGGCCTTCGCCCTGGACAAAGTCTTGAACAATCAACGAAAGCTGAGCTTTTCAATCCGGTATATATATACTGACTGACGCATGGAAGGCATTGAACACTTTTCGATGGGAACATGGACGTACATCCTAAGCCCAGAGAAAATATATGGAAACCAAGTACGGTTGCAACACTCAAAGGGATCTCAGAGGTTGTGCCAATGTCCTACTGGGTGCCCTGATGTTGCCCACTGTGTGCAAAGCAGCAGCTCATGCTACTGCTTGTTTCGGATGTACCATGCTGTTGGAATTCCTCTGCTTGTCAAACGAAAAAAACATAGAATCCAAAGATTCATAACGAACTTAGTGACAAAACCTACTTATTTAACAAACTGTGCTTAGGCAAGAATCCGTTTGTAAGGCCTGGAACCGTTTAAGTATGTTATGGTCCACCAGGTATGTCCGGCGCAAGGTGGCGGCGCCACACACCGGCGAGCACACCGACACCCTGCTGCAGGAGCTGGTCGACGAAGTCCGCCTGGCGCGGGTCATAGGCCCGGCGCGCCCACCAAGGTGGCTCCAAGTCAAGGCGGTGGCGCTCCCGTGGGTCGACGCTGGTCGAGCCCCCACCCGGCGAGGAATTCTTGGCGGTCTCCTTTGCGATAGTCCAGATCGACGAGAACGGTGACCCCAAGATCCGACGAGGAGAAGATTGGAGACGATCGGGTCACAACTCGACGGTCAGTGCCGACGACGTCCCAACACACCACTTCATCGGCGCCTTTGTCGAGCTCGCCCGCAGCATGGCCGACGACGGCGTGATCCTGGTGTTCGGGCATGACTTGCTCAACGCCTACCGACAGTGGCCGGTGAAGCACCCGGCGCAGTGCGGCACCTTCTTGGCCACGGCGGAAGGATGGACCTTTTGGTACCACCTGGCCATGAATTTCGGCGCCACGGCCTCGGTCTGGAATTTTAACCGCGGCGGCGACGCCCTCCAGCAACTGCTGCGAGGACTGCTGCTGCTGGCGACGGGACACTATGTCGACGACTTTAACGGCCTGGAGTTTGAGGAGCTCGGCGAGTCGGCGACCGAGTCCTTCAAGGAGCTCTTCGCGGCGCTAGGCTTCCGCATCAAGGCCTCCAAGTCCCAACCGGCGGCGGCCCAGCACGTGGTTCAAGGCGTCACCTTTGCCATTTCCCGACGGGGGGTCACAGTCAGCCCGACACCTGAGAGAGTGCGGCGCATTTTGGCACAGATTCGGAAGGCGCTCGACGAGGACCAGCTCAAGCCCGACGACGCGCAGAAGCTCGCGGGCAGACTCTCCTTCCTCACGCAGGCGGTCTTCGGCGGGGTGGGAAAGTATTAAGGCGGTGTACGCCCGTGCGGCGGATACGGCGGCACACTCGGCCGACGGTCTCACGACGGGACTGCGGGCGGCGCTGTTGTCCCTGGAGCACATCCTGCCGACGGTCCGACCCCGCTTCATACCGTTCGCCACCGACGGGTTGGACACGGCGGTACTCTACGCCGACGCCTTCTTCCTGGATGGAGAACGGATACACAAGGCGGGGCATGTGCCAGTGACGGCGGACGCCTCACGGCCCAACCGTGCCAACGACGGCTGGGGATTCGTTCTGCGCCTCGGCGGCGCTGTGTTCTACGACCACGGCGTCGTCCCGGCATGGTTCCTGCAGAAGTTCCAGGCGCGGCGGGCCTTCATCTACATGCTCGAGATCTTCGCGCAGGTGGTCGCCATTGCGGCGTTCTCCGCCCACATGCCCGGCGCCATCACAGCCTTTATTGACAACTCCGCAGGACAGGCGGCGTTGTCCAAAGGATACGGGAAAGACCCGGCGGTGAACGGGCTACTGGCGGCCTTTTGGGCCCTGGCGGCGAGGAAAGGAACCTTGATCCAGTTCCGGCGGGTACCGTCGAAAACCAATGTGGCCGACGCGGTGTCTCGCGACGACTTCTCCCGGGCACGACGCGAGGGGTGGACGAGGGTCCACACCCCGGCGTCGACAATCATGAACATCCTGGCGAAGGCGGTCGACGACATCGTCTATGCGGTGGATGCGGCGGCGGCCGACTTGGACTCCTGCTCTACCTCCTGGTTCTCTGAGCCGGCGCGTGGTGGGGCAGGGTGCGCCGGATGGTGCTGAACTGCGCACCCGGCGCCGGCTGTATAGGACTTGAACCTGCACGCCGAGCGGCGCTTTCAGCGCTACACATCCACACGACGAAAAAGTATGTCGTCCGTTTTGGCGTCAGAGCTAAGAGTGCGACGGTTGTTGTGAAGCACACTTGTGTGCGTAGTAACAACCGTGAACGGCGTAGCTGCCTTCAGCACTCTGGCTCGACGCGACCTTTCGCCAAAAGCTTTTCTCCCACCCACGCCACCCTTTATGGGTTCGGCGGCGGTCAGTCCGCAGCGGGCCGGTGCTGAACTGCGCACCCGGCGCCGGCTGTAGGACTTGAACCTGCACGCCGAGCGGCGCTTTCAGCGCTACACATCCACACGACGAAAAAGTATGTCGTCCGTTTTGGCGTCAGAGCTAAGAGTGCGACGGTTGTTGTTCGATGCTGCGATATCATGGCTCGTTCCTGTCATGGGCAAGGTTTGACAATCTGGCAGGTGATCTGCCTCTCAGCTGAAACGAGCGATTCATGTGAATGCTTTTCCGAAGCACATGTAGATTCCAGACTTGCGCTGCTGGACTCGTAGCCCTGCGAGGCATCACCTCATGAGCACGAGAAGTATCCCAGGCCATGTGCCGACACGAAACATGGTTTCATCAACTCGCGCAACCCAGCTACTCTGTCAGGCGTGTACAATCCACCCTACAGCGACCTTCTGCCCAAAGCTTTCGAGAAGCCTATAGAAGACCACCTGCGTGATGCGTGTCGGGTGACTCGGCTGCAGACTCGACAGCTCCCGTCAGCGAAAGCCATCGGATTGGAGCTTCTCTGGGCAGGTGCAGCTGCCCAAAGCCATGCGAAGGCCGCCTTGAGTGTTGGATGCAAGAGCGCAGCGATGTCATTGACTACACGTAGTAGAATCGGTGTGGGCAGCTGATGAAAGGATGAAAGTAGTACTTGCAGTGGCAGGCCTCGGCACACGAACTTGCCGTCGCCACGGGGGTCCACGAACTACGGCTCATCACAGGCCCTGATCATGCTAGCGATGACGATGCCGTGCAAAACATATGTCGGTGTTCCATGTGCAGGCGGAGAGGCTTGGCTACGACTTGTCGGCTCCTCCCCAGGATCTGCCGGAGCGAGCCCCCCATTACTCCCGCACGGCCAGCACTGGTGGGGGTCTCGCTTGGCTTCCGCACCCGCTTTCCTCTTGCTGGCTCCAAATCTTGAGGTCGGTTGCGCAAGATTCAGGGGCCGTTCAGGTCCAGAGAACAGATTGAGGTGGCAAGGAGCCCAGGCAGATCCAAACTGCAATTGACATGCAAGAATCTTGGAGATTCAGGCCAATATCAAAGCTGCCAACACATACAGCTCCCGAGCTGCATCAGTGCAATTTAGAAGGGCCAGCGCCACACGAGGCAGGATCATGTGGCGAGCGCTTCCACTTGAGCTTGTGAGGAAGCATTCAAGCCTCTTCCGCATACGAAGCAGTAGAGGACGATCGACGAATGCAGGCTCCAAGACCTTCAGTGTTACCCAGAGTCTTGTTTGTTGGTGCAACCGTTGCGCTGTACAGGAGAGGATTTCCAAACTGACGCGATCCTCTCCGGTGGACTTCGCTGCTCCTGGTTGTGTCAAAGACAGGCAGAGCCCTGTTAGTGTACACGTGCACGGCTCCCAGCATATCTGACATGAGTGCCATGTTCATATCGCAAGTGCCAGCAGCAAATGCTGAAGCCCAAGGGGACTTCCATACAAAGACCGCCCGCTCAGCCTCCGGGGCGATTATGTAGAGCTGCCAAAGATCCGGGCTCGAAGCTAAGTGTCGCATGTACGAGATGTGCACTTTGTGTGTTCTTCTGCGTGTTCACTGCCTGTTTGGCAAGGACAAACCACCGTTCTTCACTGCACTCGGGCCGGGCAAGCAGTTCTCGGACTACGACGAACAGCCATTGCAGCTCGCACGAGAGTCTCCAACAAGGGCATGTTAGACTGTTGTGAATGCGATGTGCTGCATCGCAGGATGTTACGCAATCTGGGGATGTGCTTTGTGGGATGCACTTGCAGGGCTCGGTGGGTGCAAGCGGCGCGCCTTTAGCAGTTGCGGCAGTTGCCTATGCAACGCAAGGCTCCCACACGGCCATGTTTGAGCAGAAGGTTCGTCTCGGGATCCAGACCGTTCTGAAGCAGTTTCACCAGTAGGAAAGCGTGTCCTGCAGACAGGCAGGGTGCTTCAATTTTGGGAGCTTGCTATCCACATCTTTCCATCGAGGAACTGACGGTGCTTTCAGTTTCAGCACGAATATGCCATATGATCCTGCAAACGGTTCGCACAGGCATTCCTCGCAGTGCAAGCGTTCGGGGTGTAGAATAGTGCACAGTTTGAAAATTCGGTACCCGCCAGACTACAAGTAGCTGGCTTGCAAGACATGGCCTTGCCTTGTGCCAGGGTGGAGATAATTACGTATTTTGACTCCATGGATTTGTTTCGGGTAAGGTTTCTTTCTGTATCGCATGCATCTCCAGCCTTGTCTCCGAAATCCCCCGTGGAAAGCCACTCTAAGAGGGGCGAAAGGTGTTTTCCCTTTCATGCTGCACTCCAAACGGATGCAGATGCTTTTTTTTTTGCATGCCGGGAACGGCGTTTCACTTAAACATTTTCAGACATCTTTGCCGCGAGACGCTCCATGCAACGAAGGGGTGCTGTCATGTACAGTGTGTGGCCAGGTACAGATTCATGTGTGCACTTGGTACACCTGCAGGAAAGAAGGAAGTACCTGGATGGGCTGCGCCCGGCAAGGTCTCGCTTTTGCACAACGACTTCCTAAGGGATTCATGCGACACGCTGAACTGATTGCAATACTGCTATATACTACATCACTCTTTCTCGACAGGCACCCGTCGACAAATGACTTCTGCCGACGCAGTTGTCCTGGACAACGTCTTGCAGGTGAATGCCGGCGGCTTATGGCAGCCTTTAAGGTTTAAGGCCGGTCTAACTCGTGTCCGGAAGCAGGGAGGGCACTCGCTCAAACATCTGAGCAGACATGTCAGGAGGTTTGTTCTCTGCACGCAGGCAGCAGGCTTGCCTTGCTACCCTTACCAGATGGTTCAAGATCTGCACCCGGACGGAGCGATTGCCACTGCCTACAATCCCCACTCAGCTCAGATCAGGCGTTTTCGCAGAGGTGTGTTGCAGTGCATCTCAAGCTTATTGGCAACCTTGAGGCACAGACTTTGCATGGACTTTGTTTGAGAGAGCTTGCATGGCATGGATCTCGGCTACGCAGCGGACCCCCCTGTCCAGCCTCCTGTCGCAAAAGGCAGGGCAGATCGAGAGCCTTCGCCGCCAACTCGAGGCGGAGGCTGCGGAGGATGCGGAGGCGGAGGTGGACGATGTCTGGCTTTTGCGCTACGTGCTGAGCTTCGAGTCCCGGCCCGCGGAAGCCGCCACTGCTGCTCGGAAAGCACTGCACTGGCGACATGATCACAGGGAGCTGATACAAGCAGCGAAGATGCGAAGATTACCGCCCGGCCTGTCCATGGAAGACGTACAAGCGCTTCAATGCATGTTGGTGTCGGGATTCCACTTCACAACGACCTTTGGCGACCCAGTCTTTGTCATACGGGCTGGTCAGTCGAACCAGAGTCTGTTGTTGGACATGGTCGGCGAAGACAAGGTCGAGCTTTGGATGACTTACCTCGGCGAGTGCGCCTGGCAGGTTTGCGAAGCTGCCACGCGACGCAACGGCTACTTCGTCAAGCAGTTCACATTGCAAGACTTTGCTTCGGCATCCATGTCGCAAGATCGAAGATTCTTCAAAATCTTGGGCAGAAACTCGAAGATGAATGAGTGGTTGAGACCACAATTTATGGGGAGGGCAATTTTCTTCAACACGCCGACGTGGATGAGCCTCGCATTTGCTATTGCATCCAAATTGGTGAGCCAAAAGTTTCTATCAAAGATTTGGGTACATCGTCAAAACGTTGGACTGGAACAGCAAGGGGCAAACCTTTGCCCATATGCGCAGCAACTTCTCAGCGCCGACCGTCTACCCGCTTTTCTCGGCGGGACTTGTGCTTGTCAAGAGCACGGAGGCTGCGTGAACGGTATGCTGAACAGCAACTTTGGAAAGCACTCCGTAGATGATGTTGCTAGCAGCCCTCGCATAATCTTGCCGCTGCTGCGTTTGCCGCGCTGTGAGGAAATTGAAAAGTCACCACACAGAAAACCGCCGGCTCCGACTCCACAAGAGGGTGGCGTCGGCGACGAAGTTGTCACGGTTTCTTGCTGGAGGCGCTGCTGCTTAAGGCGACGACCCATGGCAGCCAGTGCAGATCGTGCGGGCGTGTAGCAGCCAAAGCAATGGCAGCTGCCACTGCCGTCTCACTGTGTGAGAGCATCGCCTCAGCTGCGAAAAAGGTCAGACATGATAGGCAGGCATGAGCAACTGCCTGTCCTTCTCCTTTGATTGCACGCAGCAGTAGCAAGCAGATTCCTTGCAACCGCTGTGGCTGGAGCCTATGGCGTGAGTAGAGCGCTGCCGTGTAGCGCTGTATCCCCACCAGATTCTTTGCTTGCAGTGTTATCGTGACATGTTGGGCCGCTTGATTGCAAAAAAAGTGCAGTTTGTGGGCTGGAGTTATCTTGACTTGAGACCATAAGAGGGTGTACAACATCTGTGGTGGTGATGCTGGCATAACCGAGGTCTGCACGAGCAGAACTTCGACGAATGCAATGCCCCTGACGCGTACCCAAACCGAGTTGCCTGCTCAGCCGACATACTTTGATCATGCCGTCGCATGCCAAAATTTCAGAAGCTTCCAGTGGCCCTAGTTTGCCTGTTGCCTCCTGCCTCGTAAGGGCATCGATGCCTTCGTGCACAGCAGGGAGGAAAGTCCAGGATGGGGTGGGGACAGATTTGCTTGGGAGTTTAGCTCATTGCCGCTCATTGTTCACAAATCCAGAGCCAACGCAGCGCGCCAGAGAAGATCAGGGTGCCCTGCATCTGGGAGGATCTCCGTGGCTTCTCCGCCGGATGAATCGGGAGCAAAACGCCAAGAGGACATCCCCTGGCTTCAAGTTCCTGAAGCTCCTGAAGCAAGTGGGCGGTCAAGTGCCTTGCCCACGCAGACATTGTGGAAAGTCAGTCGGCATTCGTCCCTGCGTTGGCACCGCAAGCAGTGCTTCCGTGGTTCCAAGCCCCTTCAGGTGCTGAACAACCAGGCCAACATGGGTTGCAGTCAGCGACGTTGTGGCACATGTCCCGCTTATGGTAACAGTTTACCAAGTAAAGCATACTCCTGACCCGCAGGAGTTCGATGACGATTTGGAAGCCCAACTCCGTGATGAGATGGGCCTCGCGGCTTCAGAGGCCTTCTAAAGCAAGGCAGTCGCTCCGGATTCCCGATTACAGGACCTCAACTTACAACGCTGAAGCGTCAAGCTGAGGCCAGCCGGCGATGGGGAGCTGTGTTCCTGGCATGCATCCAGGAGGTTGAGGTGTAACTGTGACGCTGTGGTAGCAACGTTGACACCGCATGCTCGTTGCGTCAATCTGAGGCCATGCGCTCCTGGTCCGGATCGACGGAAGACTCTGAGACCGGCCTCAAGGCCGGGGCCGGCAACAGGTCCGAAAAGGACTTTATCAAGTCCCGGACCTGAGTTCGAGTCATTCCGTGACAGGGATGGCGCCGTCGCTTCCTGATTGGGGCCCTATTCCTCACGGTGGTGGCGCTACTTCTGATGATCGTGTATGCTGCTGGGGCATCGAACCGTTTGAACCTGGTGAACGACTTACGGAATGCGGCAGCCTGGCTCAAACACTTGAGTTCCCCTCTAAAGCCTTAACCTTCAACCAACAACCTGCAAGCTCAGCACCTCGCCCACTTGACTCGAGCTTAGGTCACACATGGAGGTCCCCCGCTGCCCGGTTGCAAGTGCACTTCAGCAACTGCATTCCCCGCTTTCGCTGCATTTCAGCGCTCTCCCTCATCATGGCAAGTGCGAGCATAACGGAACGTCTTCCGTAGATGCAAGTGCACCACTACACTCTACACATCCAGTACACACCGATCCTGCCTATCTTGTGTGGTAGGTCATGTCGTAGAAACTGCGACCAGCATTTCAGCCCGGAGTGAAACGTCAAGGAGGGGAAGACCAAGCTCCAGCATGGTTACATCTTCGTGGGGCATGGATTGCACAGCAAAATTCCCACGAACCTGTGGTTGAAGCACGTTCAGAGAGGTCAGGATGGAGAACATGTGCGCTCATCAAATTGACGAGTCGCTATCCCGTGCATAACTTGACCGTGGCGGAAGCACCGCGTCGAACCTGGGCCAGGGGCCGCCACGAACGAGCAAGCCCATAGCGATACCCACCCACCACCAAGATGCAAAATGATGCAAGTTCTGCCAGTACTTGACCGTAGGGTATCCACCATCAAACATCCCGCTTGAGTTTTGGTTGCAGGCAGATTCGAAAACAAAATGTGCATAGTTGACTTCACTTCTCTCTCAAGATCTCAAATTCTGGATCTATGAAATTTGGATTTGGCATCCTCTGCTGGGAGGGGGCTGTTTGGCATGTATGAGGGGGAAACCATGATTGTAGAAGCTTAGCTAAGTCGCTTTCCTCGAACATCGTCTTTCCCGCAAAAACTCAATACAACTAGGATTTCCGCATAACCCTCGCCTGGCAGGCAGCCGGCAGGAGTCCAAATCGTGCTTCCGAGGCATGCATACATACGTACATGCAGCCCTGCACAGTCTCACAAGCAACCTGTCAAGCTCGCAGACATGCACGGCACGGTGTTTATTTGGATGCCTTTCTCAAAGCAAGATAGGACTGCAAGCTCGAGGCACCTTGGGCAAGACACGGGCCACGAGCAACTTGCTTGGACAGGGGGGCCGTGCTTGCCCGCATGCGAAGCAGAGGCGCTCAGACAGATTGTAGCAAAATGGGCGCCGAGGACCTGGACTTGCCACGCGACAAATATCCAGCTTTGGACTCCACAGCAGCGCGAGTGGTGCTGCCAAGAAGACACTTGACCGGAGAAGAAGGTCGATCTGCTGCTTGCACTGTAGGCATTTGAGCCGTCGCCACTTCGATTCCGGCGTGCATGAACTCCGTGGAAAATCCTCGTTCATCATGCGAGATGACCGGTTGCAGGATTTCCTTGCATAAGTGGTGTACATCTTTGCTAACATGGAGAAAGACTTGCAATGAAGCATGCGCTGATGTTGGATTTTCCGATGAATCCAACGTTCGACGAACCTGAGGAACACGTTGGATGTGCAGCAACGTCTCTGCCGTTTGATTGCCTCGATGGCCTCAGCATGTTCAAGAAGTGGTCAGCCGAGAAGAGACAGTGGCTGCTTGGCACTGCAAGTGGGCACGGGGTTCAGCCTGCCGAGCGTACGCATGCCGCAGTACGGCTCTCCTTCCTTCGATTCCCGGCCGCACGAGGTGCTGCTCAGCCAGAGGCCTTGCGTGCCTCTGAGGGCGATTGAACACTCCGTGAGAGGATTGCACTGTGTGTGAAAGTAGGAAGCCGTGCCCTTTGAAGAGGAAGTAGGGAAAGGCAAACCGACAGTAGCAGCACAAGAACATCACAAAAAATTCACGGCCTCTCATGGGATTTTCAAGGCGAGCAGAAGAACTTGCCTTGGAGTGCCTCATGGCTGACCACAGGATGTCAGCTAGGCCAGGTGTATCACCTAATTCGCAGGATACAGACTCAGAAATTTTCAGGAACCTGGCAGTTCGTGCCAGTCTCGGGAGAAGGTCCTGCTATTGATAGTCTGCGATAGATTTTATGGCTTCGAGCGCCTGTCCATAGATGTAACTGTAAGGGCGCCGCGAAAACCAAAGCCGTCTCGGGAAGCCGCCTTTCTGTCTCACTCTTCACAGCACCACAGGTACTTACGAGAACGACAGCGTTGCTGCCAAAAACAGCGCTCAAAGCTTGTCATAACAGAAAGCCGACATGGCTCGTTTAGTGTTTCCCGAGGCTCGCAGGATCCAGGCATGGGTGTCGGCCTGGCACTGGGTCCGTGTCTTGGTGCTGCCCACGATCTCTCTCGGCTTGCGGCGCCGCATTTTTCGGTCGCTGGATGGGATGTCTGTGCCCCACTCGTTGCAGGCGCTGGTAAGCTGTGTGCACAGGTCTCGACATGCCTAGCCGGAGTCAAGAATTGCGTTGCTGAAACGCTTATTCTGTCTTGAGCCCTTTCTGCTCTGGGTCCTAGTTACCTGTTCAATCTCGAAGTCGACCCGTTGACCTTGTAGCCTGTGCCGCTGCAAAGGCTACACCAGACCAAGACGCGAGGGTTCAATGGAGTCTGCAGCTTACCAGCCTAGCATCGGCAAAAAGCACCTGAAACCAGGCGGCGAAGCGAGAAAGAGAGAGGGTCTGCGAAAGGACACTTATGCCACAGAGAGAAAGACAGAGGCATGTAGGTCGCCTGTCCCAAGCCTGCTTGGTCTTATGCATGTGGGATCGAACCTCCAATGTCGAAGAGCATCCTGACTATTCGATCCTCCTCTGCTTGAAAGTCGTTGATCCCTGCTTCGCATTCCGAAACAAGCCCGGGTATGGATTTATCTGGGTATTGATGCCATTTCTCTCTTGATACAGCAGCACATGCGGCATTTCCAGCATGCACAGACGAAGAGTATATACAGAGAGAATGACGGAGAAACCAAGAGAAAAGCATGCAATAATACAAACGATGAGGTTTTAGACATAGTATACAGATCTTATTGACTGACCGACTGGCTGACTGACTGACCGACTCAGTCACTCACTCAGCCACGGACGATTGGAGGCCCACAGCAAAACCACAAAAAAGATAATACCCGAAACAAAGCCACCACACAAAATGGTGGAACTCACAGCCAAGATCAGCCAAAAGAGCGAAGAAAGGGGAGAGATCACCCTCGGGACGCCCCGCCCCTCGAACATGAGCGTAACTTGCATCGCCCGCCACCTCGAGATGCATAGTGGATGAAACTGAAGGCTGCTCGACCATGTTGCAAGACTGAGGGAAGGGGCACCTTCGCAAACCCGCAAACTGTGCAGTCGATGTTGGTCCATCGATGGCCGCCCAGATCGCAGAGAAGAAGAGCGAGCGGCTGACGACTGCCAGTTTCACGCTCTCCAATCTTTTTCTGCTCGTGGAGCTGTGCTCGTAGCTGTTGACGCTGAGGGCCTTAGAAAGCGTGGACGTGTGGAGACTGCCAAGGTCGCGGACGCCAGCAGGGATGGCAGCTGCCACCTGCAGGCCTGGGGTCATCGGACCACGGTCAACCAGCCGTAGCTTTGGTTGGTCGGGGAGGGTCAGTTTGGGGATCTGCACCATGCCTGGCAAGTTGGAGGTGAAGACGACTCTTTGCATCTACAAGCAGTTTTCGCTTCTGCCCCAGATGCCTCTGGACACCTTCCATGCAGCAGTAGGCTCAGGCGAATGCTTGGCCTGACTCTTACGGCTCGACACAGTGCTGAGACGCACAGAGGCTGCACATGATCGCTCTCATCACGCCGAGCCTGGAGCTTGCAGCGCAATAGAAACAACAGTTTCCTCAGCCGGTGACAATGCAGGGAGTGAGTGGTTCAACAGAGGAACGGCCTCTGTTGATCATGTGCGTCCATGCTTCATGGCAGTCGGAACTCGCACTGCAAACATGAGAGGGGTGGGGTGTTTTCGAACGAATGCTGGCCAAGGCGAGCCGTCTTGCAGCAGACACTGACCCTTTTCGTTGCAACTCTCACCGGCGGTGGAAACCGACATTGGAAGCGACATGCGTCGGTTGCAGAGTCTTTGTAGTGTGAAGGGTTGTGTGTGTGTGTGTGTGTGTGTTCCTCTTGTCTTCTCCTCGCAAAGCTTCACGAGAGCGATGCTCGACTGTTTGCGGTCTTGTGGTATCGATATCGTGCACCTTGAGAGCGAAGCCTTTGCCAACATCGGCTCATCAGCAGTGGCTGTCAAATACTGACAGACATTGGCAGATAGGCTTCGGTTCCAAAGGCCGTGTGAATGTGACAAGCCCAGGCAAGCCAAATTAAGGACCAGGAGAGTGGAGCATCAGAGTCCCGTCGCACGTAAGCTCATGTCTGGGCTCGACAGATGCAGTTAGATGGCCGCACCCCCCGCGTCTGCTCGACCTAAGCCTCTACTTAGGAAGACTAGGAAGACCCGCCTGTGCTGTGTAGCCGCTTCTAGGGCGTGGCATCAGTGCACGAAAAAATCGTGCTTGATGCCGCATTGATGCCACGTTTGTTCCACTCCCCGTTTGCGCCGGCAGCCCCGTGTCGCGACCTTTGCCAGGATCTCGGATGTTTTGAAGTGCATGGATGTCTGCAATGCAGCGTTGGCTTCCGATTGGCTGCCCATTCCTTGAGGTGGTGTCGATGGGAAGCTGTGCTAGCGTGAACAATGTGGAGAGATCTCCCTTTTATGCAAGGCCCATGGCTTGATTTTGCAAAACAGCCGTCTCCAACAGCTTGTAGTGGCGCAGGTTCATTCTTCAGGAGAAGATTGGCCAGGCAAGCAGCTGGATGGTGGAAAAATCGTTTACCGGCATGATGCCACCACGACTCATGCTCAGTTAAGCCTATATCAAACAGAACATGTGCCACACCTAATTCAGCGGTTGCTGTTGCCTGTGCTGCCTGCTCTTGCAGATGCGATGCCGAGGCTGAGCATTTCCTACTCAGAGGCACTGTGAGATATCGCGAGGTATGAGCAGTGAGCCAACCCTCAACACACCCGCACGGACACACAGACGGCTCGTCCGTCCGGGCTGCGCAGCAGCACAGGATTTAGAGGATGAAAGCCGGACGAGGGCCGAAGGTTCCGAAGCGTAATCTGATTGGACACCCACCAGATGCAGATATTCCGAGGAGCCACAGTAAGTGGCTCCCTGCTCGAAAGTAGTGAGGTCTGGCCTGAGCCTGCATACAAGCTTGTCAGGGCTCGGCTTGCGGCAGAAAGCCGTCCCCGAAAATACCTTTTAAAGCAGCGAGCTAGGAATCTGTGCCGTGACAGGGCTCCTATGGGAAGGTCTACTTGGTGAAGGCCGGGATGTCGCGTGGGGATGTGGTGGCCGTGCCTGGTCTTCCCTGGTCAGGACAAGAGAAACCAAAAAATTCTGGCTGTCAAAGTACAGGCGGCGGCATTTGGCAGGGAGCCCGCCTGGCCAGCTTTGCTTTTCGGGGAAAGCTAAGAAACATAGAGTTGGACAGCGAAGTCGCTTGCTGTGCCATTTCAAGCCTCGACCACACGAGCTCCCCAAGCAGTTGGACTTCTACTGGAAGTTACTGCACGCTTCCTCGGCTGATGGTCTAGTTTCATGCCGTCAATACCTGAAGCTTTAGGCCTGCAGGCAGCCAGGCACCAGCGATCGGCGATATGACGATGGGGGAGCACCTGGGTGGCGGTGGGACATGTGAACATGGGTGGGTCAGCGGCGAGAGCACGAGGCCAGGTCACTTTTTCAAGGAAACCCGAGGCGGCGGCACAAAAGTTCGTGCGGGACAGTCCCTATGTAAAAGAATGCTGGACACTGGATGCCTCTGTTTGTCTCTCTCCCTCTATCTCTCCCATGCAGTGAAGAAAGATAGCGTGAGACCTGGAAAGGAAGCAGAGCAGGCGTGTAACAACTGATCAAGACATCGCGCCGTGCATGGCAGGTGGGTGATCACAGATGAGGTAAACGTCTGGAGGTCGTTAGGCCGGGAACCCAGTGCAATGTCTCTTCTGTTTAGGCTGAGCTTTCTTGGCGAAATTGCACATCTGCATCCGGCGAGGGAGACATCCCAACATCGTGTCCTTCCATGACCTGCTGCAACCTCAGAGTCTACCGCGCAGTATCCTACAGCATTCAGGCCTTTATGTACACCCGAGTTGGTGGCTCTCATCGTGTCAACCGAGGCGGCAAGAAGCCAATGTCTACTTCATTTTGATGGAGGTTTGCCCGAGGGCATTGTCAATGGCTCAGCAAGGCAAGCCTTGTGTCCAACCACCTCGTATCCTTGGCGAAATCGAAAGGATTGCACACATCGAGGCACGGAAGAACACGTGTCAGTCTATGTAGTTTAAGTCTATGCCCAATGCACCTAGTCCGTTTGGACCGGTGCCGGCATGCTGCCCTAGGGGCCTAGCAGCCTAGCAGACGGCCGCTGTTCACATCAAGCTGCAACTTCGTGTCAGTGCTCGGTTCCCAAAACTTTTTCGTAAAGCTGAAGTGGGCGCCATCCCGTAACGCTGGAGTACCGACCGTCGTGGCCACCTTGACGCCTTTCAGCTTCGCGCAGTGTTGTGCTGTAACTACGGCTCCTACTACAAGCGAGCATCGACATTCTCAGACCGGTTCAGATGGTACGTTGCTCTTGCTCGGGCCACGGCTTGTGAAACAAAAATGGTAAGATCGTAAGACTTGCTGCGTTTGCCGCGGCCCGACGAGACCATTTCTTCGTCCGCCGCCATACGGCGAATCTCGGCACTCCGTTTAGACTCACTGTCGTCGTGACCAGCGGCACAGGAGGGGACGGCTTACAGCCACTCGGCCTTGCCACCTCACCGAATCAGACGGAAACGTCCATGAGCGGGTATCGGTTTCCGATTTCTGGCCTTTCAGGTCCGATCGTGTGATGTACTCGCCGCAGTGGACGGCCTTGGATCTCATGTGCTACCCCGAGTAGAAGTGTCGCTGCAGTTTTGCTTCGGCGGATCTTGGGAGCTTCTGTCATCTTTGTGGTGCCGAGGCATGACTTCAAGCAAGCTCTGCTAGAGCCATAGCATCGCCGCGACGGTGCCTCTTGAGCTTGCGTTCTGCGTGTGTCAGAGCGTGAGTGAGGCTCGGCCTTTCACACATGCATGCCCGGAGGCGGGGAGTCGCTTTGTCCTTGCATTCCCCGCCGAGAGCCGGATTTTCCATGCCCAGCCCGTAAAGCCGCGGAGTCAGCATATTTCTGGCGAGGATTCTCCATCGAGATATCAAGGCTCTGAGCTCGTGAGGGTTGGATTTCAAAAGGCGTCTGGGCAAGCAGCCGCCGCTTCGTTTGAGGTGCAGAACTTCCTGTATGGTGGTCGGGACGACAGGCCGAGTCACTGCAGCCTGAGCTCGATGCCCAATTGCCCTTGTCTACTCTGGATTGAAGGACTCTGAAGCTGGCCGATTTCGGCTTGTCCGTCCATCTCCGTCCAGGAGGGAATGTGTTTGCTGATCGCACGGATGTTTTTCACTTCATGCGCTCCTCTGCAGGAGAGAAGCTGGATGCAGCAGCACCCTCTGATGCAGAGTGACAGTGTTGTGCTGCCATTACAGGGTTGTCCGTGTCAGAAGTCTCCTAGTCAGGAATACAATGGACAAGCTGTTTTCTTCACACGCAGTTCTTATTGAAGGGCGAGGGAGTTTCCTACATGGACAACCCTGATGCCACAGGGTCCTGATTCTTCCGATTCTTCGCATTCTGCACATGCAGTCTTGCCTTGTCGGTTGGGCTCTGTCACTAAGGTCTGCGGCTCTCCAGCCTTCATGGCACCAGAGATGGTCATGAGGCAAGGCTACGAATTCAAGGCGGCCTCTCTTTTGCCTGCCGGCTGTCGGCTAGCCTCTTTTGTATCTCTCTGTCCGTGACTTGCCAGATCGACATGTGGAGCATGGGGGTCACTTTTTTCATGGTTATGTATGGGACTCTCCTCGTCAGGACCTCGGTCCCCGCTTCGTCGATTTTCCTTGTGCCTGGTTGGCTGTTTGCTCAAAGAGACCCAGGTTGGAAAACCCAAGATGAGCGTTCCTGTGGCTTGATGGCAATCTTCGCGAGTATGTCAGACTGTCTGGTCAGCCTGCTTGCATGCCCGCTCACGCGGTCGAATCAGGAGATGAAGGAGGCGATCAAAAGCCCGACAGCTACGAAGACGGCGCTGCAGGGAGCAATGCAGAAGGCTCACAGGGATGTGGTCTGCCGTTTGGGTAGCACCACGCCGATGCCACGGCCAGCACATTACAAGACCCTCCCTCCAGACGTTTTTTTGGGTTTTGATTCGCTAAATTGTCGGCGGCTGGCGACAAGCGTTTGGTTGGGACCACTTTGACTGAAGCTTGCTGAAAATGCGAAGTGTGACGACATTGATGGCGCATCAGCTTCTCGAGATATGATGTTTGTAGTATTTTGGGGCTACGCCACGGAGTGTAGTAGCTGTCGAAGGGGTAGCAGAGCAGCGAGGAAAATGTTGGCACTTCAGGCGGATGCGTGCGAAGGCGAAGAACGCGAGTTGAAGCACGCCGCCTGTCACCCAGCGTTTGCAACATGCGATGAGGACTCCACCTGGTGGCATGAATTCAAGCTGCTGTTAAGGATGCCGATCATGCAAATTGAGTCACACGGAACTTGCACCTGCTCCATCCTGCCGCATTGAGGCCTTGGACGTTGTGAAGCAGTTGCCTTGCCCCCAACGAGTTGAAGCTTTGGATCCATGGCAAACTGCCGGCCCAGCTCCACCGAGTGGCACAAGGACCGTGAGGGAGCCGACCCAGAGAGTTGGCCCCAAGGATGCGCAGGGGCCCCGGAGATGCGCTTTTCACAACGGTATATTAGCCTTGCTGGCGACGGTTCGGGAGAGAAAGGCCGAGATCAGGTCGATGCAAGCAGGAGGGACGGAGCGAGGAAGGAGGGAAGGATAACTACTAGATGCAGCAGCCAGCCAAAATGTAATAGGACACCCATGTCCCTGGTCCCTGTTCCAGCTAGTACGAGTTGCCGATGCACTGGGAAAGGCTCTGGCTTTGGGATGGGTCCAGAAAAGTGCCTTTCACGCACGGCTCTTTGCTACCACGGCTGCGACATCATCGGTGTGACCTGGGGGCTGCGTTTTGGAGGCTGTGCATCGATCTGTCAAGACATGCCAACAGCAGTACTCGCTGCCGTTCTGCCATAAGTGCTGCAGCACCTTCGCCGTCGACCCATCGTCAGTCACGTCAATACTCGCATTGCCGTGGAATCCAGTCGGGCACCGATCGTTTAAGTTGCACTCGTCACTCGCATCTGCTTTTGCCAGGCAGTTTGCCAGATCGCGCAAGATTTCCCGCCGTAACTTCCGAAAAATTAAGAGCTAGACTTTTGCCAAGATCATGGCCAGAACTGAACTGCACCACCATCCTCCAGGATTGCCATGCTGAGGACCCCTTCTCACCCCATTAGCCGTTCGGCTTAGCAAGACACCATCCGTGTTCATGTCAGCGCAGCACGGTAAGCATCTTCGCTTCACTTGGAACTAACTGTTGGGCAGTTCGGGAGGTGAAGGTGCAAGAGAAAGACGCAGATTGATCCGTGCAGGTAGGTTCTCGGCCGAAGCAAGGTTGGACCTACCTTTCATTCACTTGGTGGCGGTGGCCGGTGAAGAGGACTTGGCAAGATACAGGAAAGCTTTGCCCTCAGTGAAGGGTTCACTTTCACATGTGCCCCTTGCGGCCTGGCACTGACGCAATCGCCTGTCTGTCGTTCTGGTCTTGCCTGATGCTCTACTCTCCTATTCAATCTCCCGAACGCTCTTGAACTCACGAAGTGTAGTGGAGCTTTTCCAAATTTCGTGTTGCCCTCAGATCTTGCTCGTGGACCGCCCTCCAGCTGCCAAGAAGAAGGACCACCAGATATAACTTGCTGACTAAGGTTTGAGGTTCATTACATTAGCCAGCCATCCGCTCCTGTGTCGTCGGCTGTGCAAATGTCTCGATTGTCAGGGTGCCTGAGGTGCGAGGGCGGTATCTCGGGTGTTGTGAGCAGGCGGTGACGGAGCCGGAGGCTGATGTGGTCCGATCAGGCACGTGGGCAAACACAAGTTCAGAGGGAAGCGCTGCGGCTAATTGTGTGTGTTTGTTTGTGGATCGATGAAACCGCGGGCGTGAGCCGGCCTCACCCATCCTCAAGCCACTCCTCAGCTGAAGCCTGTAGTGACTGTAGTGCAAGAAGTTCAGTTTCTCACCGCCAACGCATGAGCGAGAGGCAAAGGAACCCCGTGACCGGGCAGGCAAGCCACCGGTGCCTCGCAAGCCCCAGCCGCAAAGTCCCAGAGTGGATGCTCTTACGCCAGTCGAGGCCCTCAGCATTCCGCCGTGAGGACGGTGGTTGAGATCCATCAGTGCAGCAATTGTTTGGGTCAGGGTGGTCAGGGTGTTGTTGATCTGTCGCTAGCAAAATCTGTGCGATGGGCAATGGGCTCCACAGCACCTTTTGGATGCCACCGAGGTGGTGCCTGGTGGCGGAAGCAGTGGCAACCCACCTTTCACGACAAGTGGGGAAAGGCAGAGGACTGAGCTCTTGTTGACGCGAAGGGGCATGTTACTGGCAAGCAGCAAACTGAGGCAACTGGGAGTCGGGACCTCGGGGAGATCGGATCTGGACTCTTATGCGCCATCAGATCTGTACGACCTTCGCGCAATGTTGGCGCATGGGAAGACATTGTACGGTTGACGTATTCTCCTGTTCTTGGGTGTCTATTTTCGGTTTTGCACGGATCGAAGCATACGGTCGGGTTGGATTGTGGCGCAGGGCTGCTTGCGACCGGGCTGCATCCGAGTGTGACGTGACCACTTCCCAGCTTCTTCCGAGAACTTGGCTGGATTTGGCAGGTGAATGTGAGTGATTCCGGTGCTGGGCCAAGCTTCCCGTTTGCTGCCATGCAGGTGTGTCCGTGTAAAGGTGCCCGCTTCTGGCGGGTCCTGTCTTGTATTGCTAAACCGAGCTCCGGTGATTTTCGCAAGCGAAGGCCAAGGCAAACGACGGGCAAAGTCCTCGAATGTGATTACGTTCCAGGGTAGCGATGGCCGGGGCCTCAGAAACGGATGGTACCGGCAGGCTGTCTGTCTCGGGCATTGTGCTCCAGACTTGTCAGACTAAGGAGTCGCAAAGCGACAGTCTGACAGAATTCAACTTCCAGATCACCTAGACTCCCCGAACAGCCACGTGCTTACTGACGGCGTGAGTGGAGGGTCTTCAGCACCTTGACACCTGGATCCTAGAGTCTCTAATAACGACCGAGGCTTTCGCGGAATAGAGGGCGGCGCATCTTCACTGAAGTTGCAGCGATTCAAAAGCCTCAGTCTCGATTGTCTTGCTTCCCGCAATCTGCGTGTGCGTCCGTTGGGGTTGACTGGAGAGTGCAATCCCTGGCATGCAAGCCCGCCGAGAACCTGTGCAGTCAGTCAAGATTTTTCTGTTTCCTGGGGCATCCATAAAAATGCCGACCCCGGCGGTATCCATAATGAACTCAAGACTGAAATCCCATGCTACCTGAAAGTCTTTGGTTTCGTTCGATGGTGTCATATGTGGCAACGTGTTGATTCCTCGCTTCCCCAGGCGCCGGAAACCTCGAAGGCTCCCAGCTCAGTGCCGAAGCACTGTCGTGAAAGCACTGGGATACAGTCGGGTCGAACATCTAGATTCGTCTCGAACCGAGTGAATTGCCGCAGATCGCTGAGCTGCAGCGTTTGGGTTGAGGTGGCAAGAGGGTTTCTGAGACAAAATCAGGGCGTTCTCCTCGTTTCGCCCACGTTAAAAATGCGACATCAAGACTCTGTATAAGCAATTTTCAGCCTTCCACAGGCTTGGGCAAGATCTGGGCAAGATGCATCCGAGCTTACAAGTTCACGGTGACCGTGGCTTAAAGGTCCCAGGACGGTGATGGTCTTCCTCTTGCCTGGCCTGCTTGACAACTGTGAGAGAATGGTCCTGTTTGGAGGACTTTGGGCAGCATGGTATTTGAGTATGACATCTCGTCAGGTCAAGGAGGTTTTGTGGCCAATATCTCTGACATTGAAGCACGACATGGCAAGAAGACTTATTGTCATCGGCGGCCATGGTGGTCGAGGGGAGGGTCAGCGGCCGTACTCAAGCGCAGAGGTTTGGGATGCAAGATGCCAGTCCTGGAATGCCTCAGCGGGGCCATCACTTGCCCGTATGCACGGAGTGGCTGTTGCTGTAAATCACTACCTGTATGTGCTGGGCGGAAGAACCAGTGACAGCCACACTACCACCAGTGTCGAGAGGCTCGACTTCTACCGTGGCTTAGCATGGGAGTGTGCTCCATCGATGACAAATGCCCGCTACAGCACGGCAGCCTTGTGCCTATCAGGCATGCTCTACATGCTTGGAGGCTTCGACGGGGTTGATGCCCTGGATTCCTGTGAAGCATTGAGGCATGCGGACTATTACCTCAATTCGGACTCCTGGCAAGCTCTTGAACCTTTGCCTTTCCCACGAGGCAAGCATGTAGCGGTTGCCATAGCCGGCAGTTTGTACCTTGTGGGTGGCATGGATAGTGGTTACCGAAGCCTGAACCTTGCGAGCAAAGCTTCTTCCCTGCACGGCAACCTTTCAGAATGGGCCGCGCTGCCACCGATGCAGAACGCCAGAAGCGGCTGCGCCGCTGCTGCGGTCCGTGGAGCTATTGTTGTGGTCGGTGGTGTCGCAAATGGATGGACAACTTTGTCCAGTGTAGAGCGATTCCATCCGGAAATCGGGTATTGGGAGATGATGGCGCCCATGAGCATCATCCGCCGAGAGTCTGCGGCCGTCTGCATAGCCGACGAACTCTGGGTACTTGGAGGTGCCTCTTACGGTGGGCGGAGCTCTGGGCAAGTAGAGATCCTGCGTGAAGCATCTTCTTGGAGACCAGGTACCTCCCATACACCTCGCTCAGGCTGTGCCGCTGCCCTTCTGCGAGGTTGACTGCAGATGCTCCAGCCGTGCTTCTGCCAGATCGTCAGCCCATTACTCATGACTGTCTCGCCTCCTTCTGGCAGACCGAGAATGTCTCTAAGCCGAAGGCTAAGGCGGCTAAGGCTCAGGGCCCAGAGCCGATCCATGGGTTGTCCATCTCCGGCCCGAAGAAGTACTCGGTACACGAAGGCACTCAGGATGTTCATCAGGGCCTTGCAACAGCTAGGCGCAGCTAGCCGCTAGGCTTCCGAAGGCCAAAGGGCCTTGCACGTGTGGGAGCACTGCTGACGAAAGAAGCAAGGAAGCTACCACGCCGGCTGGTACAGCTGCTGGATTCAGAGGGCAGAGCTGTGCACTGCAGGTGGCCGCCGGCAGTCACAGCACTCGAAGGCACGGAGGGCATCCTGCTGGGCTTCAGCTTGCTTGAGCGGTGCTAGCATGGTCTGAGCTTCGATTTGCGTGGATAGCGCCTTCAGTTGCGAAGGTGAGTTGCGAGCCGGCAGCTCAGAACAGGAAGACTTCATGCACTTGTAGGTAGATTCTGATCCGTCGTCCGGCTCCAGCTGATCGAGGACCTGAATGACCCTTTAGCACCTCAGCACTGTAGCACAACCTGCTAGTTTTGGCCTTAAGCCCTCCGAGTATTCTGAGCCGTCGGAGCCATGGTGGACACGATGATCCAGGGCCAACTTGGCTCTCTGACCAGCTCCACACCCTCTGCCCCTAGCTGGGAGGCAAAGCGGGACGAGGCAGGCGGTAGCAAATGCGCCGAATTTTTCAGCAGGCCTGTCATATGTCCTTCACAGCACACGTTCGAGGTGGACCGCATGGAGGAGGGCAAAAAGCCGGAAGAGCTCATGCCCATGTACATGGAGGGCCGTGACGTGCAGGCCGGTGGCTTCGGAAGTTTGTGGAGCCGCTATCGCGTTCCAGTTCTGGTTGGCACCGTGCTTCTTCTGGGCCTCTTCTTGCTGGTGGGGCCGATTGGTGGCATGCAAACCAGCAGCGAAGAGGGAGCGGGCAGTGCTGTGAAGACCGTGGACATGCCGGAAGCAAGCCGGGCACCCCAGTCTGAGCTGCTGCAGCTTCTGGGACTGTATCACACGTGCCATGAGGGCATTTTTGAACATGCTGGTGGGTGACGCAGGTCATTTGGAACCCGCAGACATTGGTCCAAATGCGTCGACGCCGTCAGCGTCGGACACCACCACCGCCAAAGCAGCAAGTTCGGTGGAAGCCGCTCAAGGCGAGGCAGCGCCAGCAGCTGCCACCGCGGCTGCAGCAGCCAAAGAGGTGCCTCACCCCTGTGAGATCACTGACGGAATCCATGCAGATCGCCTGAGCTTCAGGTGGGGCCCAACACGACCGAGGTTGCGAATGAGTCCGCAAGTGGAGCTCCCGAGGATCCAGCCATTGTCCCCTTGTCGCACGCAGCCTTTCACAGTCTGGCGTCAACATGCCCCTCCAAATCAGATGTCAAGAAACTGGATCTAATCCTGGCTTTTTCCTTCCTCAGCATCGACGGTGGTAGCCAATCTGATAGGCGAGGTTCAAACGACACAGCAGACATGACTGAGTGCAGGCAAGCTACAAAGCAGCTTGCCCGACTTTGCTCAAGCTTCGTGGAGCTTGTGCACCGGCCTCAGTCGTCTGCAACGGGAACTGTGAGGCGGTCATAGGCGATCTTGCAACCTTGCCTGGCCCCAGCACCGCCAGGACTACGACCTGTCCGCCGATGATCCAAGTCTTCATGCGCAGACTTTGGTGCGAAACGTGTGTCCTACGGAGTGCGGGGTTGTAGCCGCTTTCCTGCAAAGCGGCCTGGGCTTCGATGCCGGAACTGAAATACAAGAGAGGTTTGGGATTGCTGTTGCGGCCGTTGCCGCTGTTGCCGCTGTTGTTGCTGTTGCTGTTGCTGTTGCTGTTGCTGTTGCTGTTGCTGTTGCTGTTGTTGTTGTTGCTGTTGCCGTTGTGGACGAGGCCTCTGTCTTGCAAGATCTCCAGGGCTCATCACCCCCCACCCCCGGCGTCGCCGCAGAGCATCCATGCCCGAACCGGGATAATGTCCCGTTCCCACAGACTGCTCTTAGACGATGACTGCGCCTACGTATACGTTTTGCTTCTGTTGGGTTGGGGTTGGGGGGGTTGGGAGGGGGGCTAATGACGTGCGATGCGTTGCCGCAGCACGTCCATGCCCGAACCATGTTCCCACAAAATGTTGTTAGACGATAGACCGATAGACCCATACTTATTGCTTGTGCTCTGTTGGGGTGCAGGGGTGCAGGGGGGGTAGCGACATCCGTTGTCGTGCATTGCATTGCCGCAGAGCATCCATGCCCGAACCGTGATGTCCGGTTCCCACACAGTGAGCTAGCGGCTCTCTCCGTCTGTTCCATCAGGCACCGTGACACGAAGAAATGTCACCGGGACAGTTGAAAGAATGCTTTGAGCTATGTCTGAAGGCGCAATTTCGTGTGCCTTGAACAGGGCGTGCAGGGACACGGTTTTCCCACTCTTGTTTGTACACTGTCACACTTGTCGCTAGCGCAATCTGCTGCGTCGTTCGGACAGACGTCCCCCCTCTGTGTCATGCTGGAACAGGGCCTAGGAAGTTGCTTCGGCATTGCGAGCCCTGCATTCGCAGTATGTGCGCGTTGGTTGGTGCAAAGCCTGCTCACCTGAGCTGCACACCTAATCTCGTCAAACTATAAACATAATTGACATACTCATACAAAACGCAGTTTTCAACCTTCCGAGCCAAAACCACAGTAAGAGCCGCACGCGTTCCCGAAGCCGCCTGACCTTTGACGACGCCCCGTGGCGCACAAATCTGGTTCTTCTTGTTTTGTTTTCGTTGTTGTCGCTACTGTTGTGTTGAATCCAACATTTTGTGTTGTCTGCTGTCCGGGTCCGTGTATTCGACACAGCACATCTCCCCCAGAATGAACCGCTTCATCGCTTGCTGGTTTATTCTGGGGTTGCATCAAGGCCGACCGGCGAGAGGAATTCAGACTAGTGTTGTCCAGCACGAACTGAAACACAACCTTGTGTTTGGTTGACATGTGCTCAAGTCTGCTAGAGACTTTCTGTGTCGGTTATAAAATATTTTAAAGCATGGACTCTAACTAGTAACGGCACGTACTGCCAATAAATTTCAATAGTTTCAACGCAAGTTGGCTTACCGATCGATCTAAACACGAGGCCCGTACATGTCTCTCCGATGGCGACCGAGTTGCGGCAGAATAAGATATAGGCCAACCAGATCGCTCTTCGGGAAACGTTGGTTCTTTACCGAACACTGGACATTGCTTGTGAAAGGGTGAGACGGTCCAGATGTGTCAAACTGTTGTAAGCAATTCACCCTTGCCATGTGCCATGTCTTGACGGCAGTGCACGCCCGATGTAAGGACAGGTACCGAAAGATGTGCCCATCTCTGATGAAGCTTGATGGAGGCTGCGCCTATGCCTTAGAGAGTTTTCGTTGGTCCCTGACCTGTATTACAGCGGTTGGAGCTGAATTGCCCGAGCGATCAAGCAGTGCAGAGAGAGAGAGAGAGAGAGAGAGAAATAGGTGTTGTAATGGGGGTTATTGCCGGTGCAAGACAGGGCCTCGCGTCATCAGAGGGGAACAGTGTCACACAAAGACAGCTCCAGTGCGCACATGTGCGCGAGAGGGGGCCTGGACAGCTTCCTCTTCGGCTGCGTGCAAGCAAGAGAGAGAGAGAGAGAGATCCCCTTGCCCATAGCCCTGGCGAAAGAAAGAGAGAGAGAGCGAGAGAGAGAGCGAGAGAGAGAGCGAGAGAGAGCGAAAGAACCGTCTTAGCTCTGGTGGGAGACAGAACCCCGTTCAGGCCTGAGAAAGAGAGAGAGAGAGAGAGAGAGAGACCCACAACAGGCCTTGGCTGCAAAACTTTTGCAAGTGAGCGTGCAGGGCTACAAATACAGCATGCCTATGTATCACAGGAAGAGATGGGCCAAGGGCAACAGGCCTGTAGCATGAAGACGGGGGTTTGACCTGTAGTGCCCGGCAGGAGGAGGACCACGCCAACGGTCGCCCGAGCAAGTCAAAGAGTTGCAGCAAAAAAACGAAGCGTCACCAAGCAAGCTAAGATACCATCAAGGATAATGAGAGTTGAAGAGAGGCTGTCGAGGGTCGCACAAGAAGCAACAGCCAGAAATTCTGCTCTACATGATGATGATTCCCAACAAAGACACTTACGTGTAACACGACAGGGCAAAAACGAAGGAAGGAATGAGCCAGGCATGCCGAGGCAACATGTGGAAGGCTGACATCTGAACCCGGCTATAATATACTATAAGTGGTAACTTTATGAGACACTCGAAGTGGTCCGGTATCAGCTAGCGAGACACGCCGTGGGCTTCATGTTGCAGGACAGCTGGGGATGGGGAGTGAAATGAAGAGAAGATAGGTTTCGCTTCTTGTCGGGACAAGAGTCTCAGACGGATGCCAGATGAGAGATATGTTTCGGCTCATTATGAGACAGGTGACAGCATGGAAGAAGGAATTCAAGCAGAACCAGCAGCCTTCGTCGTAGAGTAGCAGTGGCAAATAGTGGCAATAGCAATAGCAGTAGCTAGTAGTAGTGGAAGGTAGAAGTAGAAGTAGTAGTAGTCGTCGTGGTGGTGGTCGTCGTCGTAGTCGCAGTAGTCGTAGTCTGCGAGTTCCTTACCATGATTGAGCTGTGCATATGAGGCTTGACAAGTAACGAGCATAGGTTTGCCTTTCCGCCGACAGGATGGGCACTTTGCCCGAGCGCGCCGGATGGCTTTTCTCCCTTGGTGAGGGGATGTGGCGTAGCAAGTCGTAAGTAGTCGTCGAGGTCATCGCAGGAGTAGAAGTAGCATGAGCAGCCGTGAGCAGCACAGTCGCAGTAGTCGTCGTCGTAGTCGGTGGTAGTTAGAGGAGTTGGAGTAATAGTAGGAGTAGGAGTGGTAGAAACAGTAGTAGTCGTAGTAGTAGTAGTAGCAGCAGTCGTAGTAGTAGTAGTAGTAGTAGTAGCAGTAGTAGTACTTGTAGCCGTGGTTGTAGGAGCAGCGGAAGTTGTAGTAGTGGTAGTAGTTGGAGTAGTCGTCGTAGTTGGCGTAGTAGGGGTCGTAGGCATGGTGGGGGTAGTAGGAGTAGTAGTAGCCGCGCAGTTGTAGTGCAGTAGCACTAGTAGCAGTAGTTGCAACCTGGTACTGGTACTGTTACGGGTACGGATAGCAGCAGTGGTAGTGCGAGTGGTAGTGGTAGTAGTGGTGGTAGTACGTCGTAGTAATACTTCGGAGTATCAGTAGGAGCAGCAACAGCAACTGTAGTAGCTACAGCGACAGCGACAGCGATAGCAGCAGTGGTAGCACCAGAAATCGTAAGAACTGCTGTTTCTGCTGGGTTTGTTCATGGTGGTCGGAATAAAGTAGCAATCGAGCAGGCTTCTTGTTGTCGTGCCGCTGACCTCATTGCATCAGCGGCCCAGGCACATGATCTTTCGATAGAGGAGGACCTCCTTCCTCATGGCACCTTCGTGCGGATAGTGTGTCCCGAGAAGTGTCTGGCACTCGGAGGCAACCGCTGAGTATGCCTCATGGATTTTCCCTCACATGGTGACAGAGGTGAGACAACAACTACTTCGACGACGCTCGCCAGCACTGTCCCGGCAGAGACCACCAGACAGGTCAGGGTGTGGGCAAAGCTTGACAAGCCTTGCAAAGAGTAGCCGGCAACGAAACGATCGCCCACCAAAAGGATTGTTTCTGGAATGTCAGCTAGTTTCCCTGCCTTGTGCCACCATCCGATGCATAGGAAACATCCGTCCTGCAGTCCACCGTGTGCTTGGTGCCTAGCCGCCTAGCCTCGTGTCGATGGCTATTCCAGTTTCTGAGACTGTAGTCGTTATCCAAAACAGAGTTGACACTCGGATCATACAGCCGTCGGCAGCAAGGCTGAGGCCAAGCACACTAGCCGACTAACCTCTTCTTCTCTGGCAGCGAGCCGCAGGAGTTGCGAACAGCCGCGACTTCCACTTCGGCTCTGCGAGGCCTCGGCCTGCTCGGGCCTCGAAGACTCCAAGGCCTAGAGAAAACCGAGGTGACCCGTTCCCGGAACGGACGCAGAAGCAGATGCCAGAAACGGAAATCCCAGGCAAGGTGCGCCCTTCCAGGCCAGGATTCGGGACAAAGAGCCCATTTTCCTTGCTTCTCGTGAGCTTCTTTGGAGAGGTGGCTTGGCTACTTGGCCGGTTTGGGTACGACAGCTGTGCCTGGCCTGCACTGCCGCTGCCGAAAGACAGACCTGTAGGAGTGCTCCGACAACAAGATCTGACTCAGGCATGGGTGGCGCTCTGCATACGTGAACAGCGGTGAACAGCGCATGTCGCCCCATTGCAGCCTTGTGACCCTTGTGCCAAAGTCTAAGCCCTTTAAGCTACGCATAGCCTGGGTTCGACCTGGGCCGCTGTGCTCCAAATGAATCGCATGGCCTGCAGCTGCAATGCCAGCTATCTCCGGACCTCCGTGCACACTTCAGCCGCAAAATTCGAGTGGTCGAGGGAATTTTGAGTCATCCGGAGGCTCCGGAGCGGCGTTTCACAGCTTGGCAGTGTACAGTTGCCGAGCCACTCCCTGCAGAGCTGCTCGCATTGGTCACTAGAAGCGCCCCCTGATAACGAGTCCCTGGGCAAGGTGGCTTTGTCTTTTTGTGTGTACGGCGACGGTGCTCCAGTGCTCCCTGTTGACAAGTGTAAAGCAGACAAAGTCACAGTCGAGCTCTTTGGATGCCTAAGGTTGGGACTCGCCGGGGAGTCCGAAGAGTTCATTCGCATGAGCGTCTGCACCTCGTGGTAGACTGATGGCATGCAGCCTGAACACCGTGTCATGTCCTGTACTGTGCAGGTTACAAACTGCCTGATGCAGGCCAGGATGCGAACGACCATGAACAGAAATGAACCCTAGCTCCAGGCAGCGCATGCATGCGACGGGTGTGAGTACCACCTTGTCACATGTGATCTCTCGAAATGTTGCTTAAGGCCTAGATCGTTGGTCAACGGTCAGATCAAGTAGGTTGCATCGAGTTCCCATCGATTCCCTGCGTGCTCGAAAGTTGCGGCAGGCCTACCGGGGTGGCAGCAGACGGCTGATTGATTCAGGCTGGTTGCGAAAGTACGACGATGGTGTCAGCACTTTTTTCCCCTCTGCAATGCCAGGCTTCGTCCGGGCTGGATGCCCAGTCTCAGTTAAGTGAAGGAGTAGCCTTTGAGCGCAAACGTTCGCAAATGCTAGCAGCTGCTCACAGGTGCAGGGAAGCGGCGTCCTGTGGCCTGGCAGCAAGACGGTAAAACGATGATCGGACAGGGTTTTGAGCCGTGCACATCGGTGCAGACTAGCCAAGCTGCTCGCTAAGGAGCCCGGACAATTCTTACGCGCTTGCAAGGGGCTCAGACCGGATTGCCGCCGTGGTTCAGTGGAAGACTGGAAGACTTGCACCTGAGAGCTGTCGATGGAAGCAATCAAGCAAGCAGCGTTTTGGTCGGATCGTGCCTTCAATAATCACTGCGGCCGCCAGGGGGGCGGCGGCTTGGAGAGCTTCGGCGCCCCGCCGCCACTCGGTCGAAGCTGGTCCTATAGAGCATGGCATGGAGACAAGCAACAAAACGCTGTCAGGTCTGACGAGGTGTGGGGCTCAGACGAACAAATCACACTTCTGCAAGGCGGCACCCAAGATGCGAAAGCAATTGCTCTGCAGGCACAGTTCCGGAGTCGCCTCGCCACGGACCCAGGCCCCAGGCTTCAACTCCAAAGGTCTTCATTCGCTTTCCCCGACCGATCCGGCAAGAGCAACGAAAGCTTCAAAACCGTCAAACACAACGCTCCCATGTTCCGAGGCTGCACCTTCAAACAGGCACAGATGGGATCCCCACGCTGCCAAAGTACTGTGCCGTGGTAGGAAGATTCGATGTTTTTCTTGCCCCGGCTTCCGTGCAGCATTCTCTCAAGATTTCTTGCGCAGGTCCGCGGCATCCTCTTCTGGTGCGGCGATGTCTGTTTCGCAATTGCACGCAGCAGCCTGCAGCTTGGTCATCGGACTGCATGAGAGCAAGTCGAGGTCAGATTTCGAGACCCCCCATTTTTGAGTATGCTTCGGCAACCCCACGAAGGTGGGAGACTCCCGCGGCGTGCCTGCTCCGAAATCTCGGGCGCAGTCCTGAGATTGATGGCCCGGCTAACTTGGTGTCTTGCTACTTTTCTCAACGCGCAGTTGTGAAGATAAGGCAGATCACAGCAGTCCGTTCTTTGTCTCGGAGGACGCATGCGCACGTTGTAGGGTCAAGATGACCAACGGAATGTGTAACCTAGCCTGAAACATGCACATTCACTTCGAAACTGGGAGTCTAGTCACCTCTGATCACTATAGTCTACGGGTGAGGCTGCTGGCAACGACTGCTCGCAGCATCTCGTAGTCTTTTTTTCTTCCACCGTCACTCTGCGACTGTTCAGGAGCCCAGCGTTCTGAAAATGTTGCCTGGAAGTATCCAAGAGCGCCTCGATGCGTGAGGTGACGGTCCGGTAGAAAGCACGAATGTACTTCGATTTTAGGATATGCTTTTTTTGTCGGGAAGGCGGCACTGACTAGGCCTAGGGCTTCAGGCTCGCCGCTGGTGATAAATCCTGGCAGCCTGACATGCAGTCGACACCAAGATACGTTGCCGTCCCAAAGGGACTCTTGGCACCTGGTAGAAACTGGTCACATTGCCACGTCCCGCTCGTCTGGTGGAGTCCAACAGTTGTTTTTTTAGCTGGGGCTGGTAGTATTGGCATGCAAGCTCACCAGGCATGCAAGGGAAGCTTGTGCCGCCGTCCTGGGCGTTTTACAGCCTTGCTGAGTCTTGCACATGTTATTGGGAGGATGCTCCCCGGTCACGTGCTGCCTTGGATGGCGAAACGCGCGATGGGAAAAAGGGGTCCACATCACTGGCATTCTTGGATTCACTGGATGCTCCTCAGGCTGAAATTTTATGTGCAAATCCTCAAACAAGTTGCACCAATCCACCAGAGCTATTTCAAAGATATGCTGCCTAATGCAGATGTGTACTGTGGGCATGTCACTTCCGTCGTAAGCCTCGGCTCAGCGCGAGTCCAACAAAATGAGGATGCAGGGAGTCCATGCAACCGAAACAACACCGCAACACCGCCATGGGACTTGGCCTGCATGTTGCGAAGCCGCCGAGTGGGCAAGCGCCAGACTGCAGCTCTGAGTGTGCTGCTCGCTTTCTCACCAAACGCGGCCTTCGTCTCCCGTGTGCGGGGTCTTGTGAGCCACCCGCCGCCTGGGCCTGGGCGTCTCTGGAGAGAAAGGCATGCTGACAGGGATGGGCGGCGCCGATGGTGTTTGGGCAGCCTTGGCGAGGAGGTCAGCGAAGCACCACGCATCGCTTGGTCTTTCTGGGATAAAGGGAAGGACACTTGCTCGTGCTTCATCTCTCGAATCTCCAAAAACCAGCCCGTATACGAGATTCTTTCAACTTTGCGAGGTCAACAAACAAGCAAGACAAGCTGCCCAGGAGAATTTGCCAGAATTTAGGCGCCTGTGCATGGAAACCTGGGCCATTCAGAACCCGGGTTGGAGGACTCGCGCCTTTGCCAGACTTGATGTTGAGATCGAATGTGTGGAGTCATGATGGCTATGGGCGACAGCAGTGTGAGGATTAAGATGCTGGACCAAAGGAATGTCCATGAGTACCTCGAGCCAAAGGAGCTCCCCAGACTCTGGCCGGAGATGTACGTCCCGTGGCAGGCCGATGCGGTGAGGCCACCCCGGCCAGCTTGACTTCCCTAAAGCCTGAAGCGCACATATACTTTGCAGCCGAGCAGGCTGGCACTGTTGGCCAAGTACGGCGGCTTGTGGATTGATGCCTCCACGATTTGTTTTCAGCCTTTCGATGACTGGATGTACAGCACGATAGCTTCAGAAAGGACTGCCGAGGGCATTGGTGCCGCTTGGCGGATGGAAGCAAAGGAGCAGCAATGACCTTGATTCCCGGTCGAAGAATCGAACTGAGCATTTTCCGAGGCCTTCTATTTCTCAGCTTGGGGGTGCGAGATGCACAAGAGCAAGGACCACGACAGCACGGCGCTGGGAGATGCAAGCAGACCTCCACTGCCAGGAGTTCGTGGAGAACTGGGTGATGGCCGCCCGTCGCCAGCATCCGATGATGGTGGCTTGGAAGGCCTTGTTCAACGGACACTTGCATGCACGATGGTTGGGTTCGGGTTCGCGCATCTGCTGTTTCAGGGTCGACGGATCGCTGGTGTCTTCTAAAAGCTGCTGTTTTGTTTCGATGCACAAAGTAAAGCCGTGGCCGTCGAGGCTACTGGGACAGCAAGACAAGGCTCGTGTGGAATGATAGGGCCAGCATGTCATGATGCTGTCTTGCTGTTTGCTGTTTTGGGGGAAGGGCCCAGGCTGACCGGGCGTCAGTGTTGAAGCCTGTCGCTTCGAAATGTTCCCTTCATTCTCTGACTAGTTGCATAGGCATGAGTAGCTAGTCATTGCCAGTAGCCTCAATGCCATCATGTGCAACTAAATGAGCATCATGAAAAGTCCGGCTGTTTCTGACAGGGAGCCCAGCTTTCGTTCGCAATTTCTCACTAAGTGCCCACGTCCAACCCTAACCGCCCCAGTCACATTTGGCCTCGTGCATGCATGTTTGGGTTCCCCTCAGAGATGTGCAGTAAGGAGCGAGGGTGAGAAAAGAGAGACTGCTTTGCAGACCGGAGTTCGACCTAGGTAGGCCGCTCGCTCGCTCATGTACTCAACCGCCGATTTCGACTCAAGACATTCATTTCGTCGTTCTTCGGGGAGTTCACTAGCATCCCCCAATTATGATCCCTGGCAGGGCTGACGCGATGTCCATGTTCCTCGATCCGCCAGGGGTCCCGGATCATCCTCTCTTCCAGGGTGTCGACCTGGACCACTTGAAGCGCTTCGGGCAGGATCTCCGCAATTATCTCCTGATGCACGCAGCCTTTAAAAAGCTCATTGATGCTGGTCTGCACTACGGCCACAAATTGAGATAGGCGGGCATGGACATTGAGGCAGCAGGCTAAGTTGTGCGCTAACTTAAGTCCAGCAGTCCGACTGCGTTCTGCATTCCTCCCTCTGCTGCTGAAGGATGAATTTGTGAGCATAGCCAGCCTTTCGTATCTCAGGATCAGTACCCCGAGTTCCGTCGCATCTGGGAAGAGGAAATGGTCTTGATCCGTGCAGATGACACGGCCTTTTGGCACATGGAGGAGCCCGACGTCAAGTGGGATCCCCAGGCACGAATTCCGGCTAGTAGCAGGGCAGCAAGTTCAAGGGGACCTGTCTTCTTCCATGTGCAGTGCCTCTCGCAGTAACTACAGCTCTCGTGGAAATTGGGGGTGTCGTTCAATCGCTGCGGTTCTCCAGAGCCAAATTCAAGCCGGAGACGCGTCTCTGCAAGCCGGTGTCACCTGCCATAAACTCCCAGGACTCGTTTGTCCTTGAGCGGGGTGGTTTCTCAGAACGGCGGTCAGGTATGAGCAAGGGGTTTGGTAATGAATCCCAGGGAGATATTCTATCCGCATTCTAGAGACGGCTAGGCGGCGTTGCGCAAGTGGCGCGGGCCAGTGGATTCGGCATGGGTGGTGACTTTGATGCAGCAAACATGTGCTCGTCGTATGTATGGGCAAATTTAGGCTATCTGCAAAGAGCCACCGTGGAACGCTTGACTAAGGACCATGTTGTCTCGAGGTGCCCAGCCACCAGCATGCACATTGGCTGTTCCTGTCCGGTTGGATGTGGATGTCTTGCCCCCCCACACCGA